GGGTTTAGCCACCACAGAATCCACCACATCCATGAAATCATTGTCTTCACCACCAATCCCATTATTTGATGTGTTCTGAATGATTTTGTAAATATTTTCTTTATTATAACTGCAGTTTATCTTCTTTGGAGTAAGCACAGTTTTTCACCTAATAGAAATAACACGATTGAATGTCAGACACAAGTAATAACTCAGGTGTATTGTGTTTGTTTGTGCATGTCATGAGAACAAAGTAAGAGTGTCTCATCATGTCCTCTGGCACCTTCTCTTCCTTCACCTTCACCTATGATGTCATAGCAGCATTAAGTGTTTGTGTGTGTGCGTCTGTGTTTATGTGTGTATTCACAGTAGGCAGCACATCAACATCTTCCCTCCTGCGTCTGACTCATCCTCGTATATCACTCTAACACACCCCGGTGTCTTGGCACCGTTTCTCTCCTGTTTGCTTGTTTTTCTTTTCCATCAGCTCGGCAGCGGAAGGTGTCGAGGAGGCGGGGCAGTCTGAAGAGACGATGCATCACTGACAGAACGCGCTCTCATGTCGGAGAGGTGAGGTAAATACTCAGGTGAGTCACAATCACGGAAGAAAGTTGACCTATGGAAGCATTTTTCTGCACAGAGAACTCATACAGTTAGAATCCATCGTTTAATCTTTTATGATTACAAAGTGCTTCGATAGACGAAGCATAAAGCAAAAAATCAGGAAGGCAATTTTACAGAAGATATCATAAAACAATAAAAACAAAACACATCTTTTATTGAGTTAAAGCTCCTGAGTGAGGAGTTTTTATCTAGTTATGACCGGTGCTTATATCGTTTCATCCATTCGGCAGGAGAGGTTACGCTAATGCTAGCCAATAGAATCCTAGGAGAAAGATTGTCACATGAGGTAAACGGACACACAGGCTGATGAGATTTCTGTAAACGCTGACATTGTTTTTTCCTGCTTGAGTGAAACGACAAGAATAAAGCGTTAATCGGTAAATGGACTTGAGCTCGCAGCACTTTTCTTCTGACTACTCAAAACACTTTTACACGGCAGCAGAGGTAGCATTGTATAGAGGCCATCAGCATGAACTAATCCCATTCATACACATTTATGCCCCGCAGACAAACAGTGTCTTGCCCAAGGACACAGCAGACATGCGGCTGCAGGAGTTGGGGATAGAACCGTCAACCTTCTGGTTGAAAGACGACCAACCACTGACCACAGCCGCCCCAGACAAGAAAAATATTGTATTATTAACATTGGAGAGAAACTGAAGTCACAATTTAGATTAATGTGTAAGATGGGCAGCTGTGGCTCAACTGGAAGGTTGAGGGTTCGATCCCCAGCTGGGGGGATATGTCCTTGGGCAAGATACTTAACACCGAATTGCTCCCGCTGCTTCGTGGTGGTGTGTGAATGGGATAAGTTACCTCTGATGGATGATACTACATAGCGATCACTACCATCAGTGTGTGAATGTGTAGGTGTGACCTGCAGTGTAAAAGCGCTTTGAGTAGTTAGAAGACTATACAAGTTCAAGTCCATTTACCATTAATGTTTAGCACTATGACGGTTTTCGCGTAACACTTAAAGGGATACTTCACACATTTGCATTAATCTTTGTATCATTAGAAACCTGGTAGTATTTTTGAATGGTCGTGCATCCCGCCCTCATTTTCCCCTGAGATGGAAAATCTTTGTATTTCTGAGTCTGAAAAGGAGCTTCCAGTGGCACTGGCCGCCGCGAGCCCAGCCGCCTGGAGCTGGCCGCGACACAAGACCGGCCTGTCGGTCTTGTGTCGCTGCGTCTCGCAGCTATATTGCTGGCCGCTGCCAGTTCAGCAGCCGAGACATAAGGCCTGCTTGTCGGCGGCGGTGAGGACGAGGAACCGGGGCCGGCTCGAGCTGGGGCTGACTGTTAGTGTTTTTATTACTATATTTCTACTGCTATACTGTATATTTTGGAGAAACTGCATCGATCGAATTTCCCTCTGGGATTAATAAAGTATTTCTGATTCTGAACTAGAGGACCTTAGTGGGAGTGGCCTGAGGTGCTGTGCATTCAGGGATTTGGTGTCTTTCATCCACATGAGCCAAAAAGACACTCCGTCTTTTCTCGGCCAAGAAGGCACCAACTTCAAAATGTATTTCACATTTCAACATATATGACCCAATGTCAATACAGATTCATGTTTCAACAGGTGAAGTATCCCTTTAAATATTGACAGCGGTGAGTTGCAGAAAGGAAAAACTTTGTCCACCACCAATAACAGTCATTCTAATCTCAAGAAGGACCGAGCCACAAAAGACACAATTCTTCTTCTAACTAGTTGTCAGAGAGACCCAGGTGCTGCTCACGTTAGCACTGGTGACCAACGAGGAGACACTCCACCTAAACAGACCAGGCTTGATTTTAAATCACCACAAGCTAGCATCTATACTGATAGACAGATAACATGCTTCATATCAACTATGTATGTAATGACTACAATATGAATGTAACAATTGTTTCCTCTCTGCAGCAACACTAAATAATGTGAACATTAATATGAGGATTGAATGAAGTATCTACTTACTTTTATAATGCATTAACTCTGTAACTTTCCGAAACTAGTTACTAATTTTCAGTATCCATTACTAGTTATGTCAGACTCTGATTTTAAATCTGATAAATAACTCTTAATGACCTAGAAAAATAAGCAATACCATCAATTAGAAAATATCATCTCTATATACTTTTAATTTTAACTGTTGCCTGGATAATAAGCCTTTCTTTTTCCAGCAACTTTTCACAGCAAGTCGGCACTAAAAGGAAAAAGGAGAAGATTTTTCTAAGGCAACTCCTACACACAAGTTGATAAGGTTATGTCCTAAAACTGCTGTATCAGCAGTGTGCATATTTGCAACTTCTTTTTTAATTTAATTCATTTTCAGAGGTTTTACAATCTTCTGTTTTTTTTAAGTAAAATAAAACGGGGAGAGTATTTGATAATAATAGTCCAACAGTAGGAGCTTTGCATGGTACTATTAGCCATGTTTTCAGTCTGGAGTCTTTTGAGGACTCGGGTGAGAAGATAAACTGTCGAGTGGAGATCTGTTTTTGTGCCCAAAAGGGAGGAGAGAGAGACATGCCGTCACTGAGCTGCACTCGTCTCTCCTCTGGTGACTCAAACTTTTCTGTGATTCACGTCTGAACAGAAGCTGAATGAAGAAGTACCCTCCTCCTTTTTCCCACCACCTCCTGCCTATTATTCCACTCCTCCTCTCCAGTCATCTCCTTCTCTGTGTCCCCTCTCCTTCCTGTCTGCTAATTGTTGTTGTACCACACTCTTTAGTTCTCCCCTTGAGCCTGCAGTTCTTCTCCTCAGGCCTCAGTGTCTCCAGGCCCATCGCTGGAAGACCTCCAGGATGTTCAAAACACTTTCACACACCCTCCTGCAGCTGCAGGTCCGTGCAGCCCGACAGGGGATTTCACCGCTCTGATGACGGGGCGCTGTCTTCCTTCCTGAGCCCACATAAATCTGTCGTATCCTCCATCCTATAGTCTAATATTAAACCTGTTTTCCATGACATGCTGCTCTGCAGGGGAGGGAAAGTTGACTAAGTTGACTAAGAAGAGCTGGTGCAGCCCGGGGAGGAAAAAACTGTGGTTAGATGTTCCTCTACTGCCACTGACCTATTGATCATTAAAAGTGATGTTCTCACCTTGTGTTGTTGCACAGTGGTAGCTCTGACTGTGGAGTGCTACGAGTTCAAGGCAAAGGTTGAACTTCAGAGTCCAAAAAGAGAAAGTTGAGAAAAGTGTGTTGCACAAGATTAATTACATGCATCATCATAATCTTCCTGCATTGCTTGGGGGCGGCTGTGGATCAATCGGTCGTCTCTCAACTGGAAGGTCGGGGGTTCAATCCCCATCTCCTGCATCCACATGTCCAATGTGTCCTTGGGCAAGACACTTAACCCCAAATTGCTTCGTCAGCGATGTATAAATGTGTGTGAATGGAAATAGCTTACACTTTACACAGCAGCTTCTGGGTGTGAATTTGTACGTTTGACCTGCGGTGTAAAAGCGCTTTGAGTAGACAGAAGCTATACAAGCTCAGTTTACCAGTTGTCGGTTTGAGCCCTGTGTGTGTGTGTGCTGTCATTGCTGTCAGGTTTTATTATGCGGTGTGTAAAGCAGCACTTTGACTTCCCTTGTTCCAGAAGAATGACAAGAATGGACTTGTGAGGACATTTTTCAAATGAGTGAAGGACTTCTGTCATCTCAGAGTCAGGATGGTGGAGGCTACCGACCTCAGGCTATAATCAAACACACACACACACACCCCACAGACACACACATTTGCAGACATGTATGCACACTTGGACGTGCATGCACACACTCAAGCATGTGCTATTGTGCAATACCCGAGAACCGATTACAACTGAATATGTTTGTTATGAAAGGAAGCACTTGAGAGGAATCTTGTCATTTTTAACATTTAATTTTGAAGTTAAAAAATAATGCTTTGCAATGTAGCTTTACAAACTACATTGAGGTTTTATTCAACACACACAATAAATACATCCACAAATCTTTGTCACATTTTCCTAAAGATGCACATGAGACAACAAAGTGTAGGACCAAGTTACACAACAATACAAAATGAATGTAAGCCGTACAATTGTTGCTTTCTTTCAGCATTAAGTTTGTGTTTTAGTCTGAGCGCGCTTTTTTGAGCGTTGTTGTTCATGCTTTAGAATTCAGCTTGTGCAGATGTCTGATACAGGAAATATAACCAATTTGAGTACAATTATACAAAATATTCTGTTGAAATGTGAAAATATTTTAACAAAGAAAACATATATATACAACATTCTGCAGTCTTGATTGTCATCGCATTTGCATGTCTGTTAATAACATTACAAAGCTTTACAATAAGATATAATACTGAATTGACTGATTTCTCCCTGAGATCATTAAAAGTTCCTCTGGTATGTGTCCTCTGGGCTCACAGTGTCGGATATGTTACAGTACGTCTGCACACAGGGGGAGGTTGTGCTCCGGTTCCTGCAGGTAGCTCACCTGCCAGGGCAGCCCGAGAGCCGGAGACGGCTCCACAAACGAGTCCATGTACCTCTGAGTGCAGGAGGCCCACATCCCCGGCTGGTACCCCAACCCCTCCCCTACCTGCGGGTATCTCAGGGGGCTCGGCGGGTGGTCGTGGGGGCTGCTGCTGCTGCAGTGTCCGTTTGAGGCGTAGATCTGTCCCTCGGGGGGGTAACAGGGGTAGTGGGGCGACGGGGGACACGAGGACACGTTGTTGTCCATGTAGAGGTGTGTGTCTGTGGGCAGCCGGTGCATGTGGGCTCCTTGTTGCGGCTGCATCTGGTGCGAGATGGACGTGTGCCAGGGGACGTAGCTCTGATGCTCCAGGCGAGGAACCGTCACTCTGGACGCTCCCGCCGCCGCCGGAACTGCCAATGACTTGCCGCACTCCCGGTGGGCGCAGGGTTTGCTCGGGGGGTTCGAGCTCAGGAACACGGAGAGCGCGGAAATCCGGTTGATGGCTCTCTGCAGGGTAGCAATCTTGGAGAGACGCTTGCCGCTGAGGTCGTGGTTCAGAGTGACTCGCAGGGCGTTGAAGGCCTGGTTGTAGTCCAAGATGCGTTTTCGCTCCCGCACGTTTGCTGCCACTCGTCGCGCCTTCGAGCGCACGGGCCTGTTGCGCTTCTTGGTCTGCCCTTCCTCCGGGTCGCTCGGGCTACTGGTGGAGCTCTCAGTGTCTTTAGTACTTTCATCGTCGTCGTCTCCTCGGTCCAACAGGCTGAGATCCAGCTCCTCCTCTGAGAACTCTGACCCTGCAACACTGCTGCAGCTCATTGTGGACGCTAGAAGAGTCAATGAGGTGGATGTAAGTGAAGACTCTTTCTGTGCTCTTCAGCTTCCTCCTGTAGTCTCAGTGAAGTCTTTCTGGGAAGGCTGTGAATTTTGCAGATTTGTACGGCTCCAGGAACCGTCTCCTCGCGTTGTTCTGCAGGGCTGTCGGTGCTGTTCTGCCGACAGCCCAGATCTTCTCCTCCTACGACTGCTGCCGCTGCCTTGTGATTACTCGTACCTGAACAGGAGCAGGTCTGCCTGCTTTTTTAAAGCTCTTGGAAGTCACATGGTTACAGTCACCTGTGAGGAATGATGCACTCTCTCTCTGCCTCTACCCGGTTTATGGGCGCCCCGCAGGCAAATGGCAGTGTCACCGCCTCCTCCTCCTCTGACTCTCCCTCACATCCCTCACAGGATCTAACAGGAGAGTTTCAACACTTCATGTGTGTGTGTGTGTTAAACATACTCAAAACATACTCATTATTTAAGACAGTAATTAAATAGACACTTCCTTTAACATGTTTACAGAGCAAACTGAGGCGTTGTTTTCCACCTCTCTAAACTCTTTGAATCGCACACATCAGTTTTGTGTTTTTGCAGAGGATTCATAATGGAAGTGATGAAGTGTAGTTATGTGATGCTACAATTCTACAATTCACTTAGCAGATCCTGTCGCTTTATCCAAAGCGACGTACATCAGAGAGTAAGTACAACACGAGCAAGGATCTAGAGAAAAGAGGAAACAATGTCAGTAAGAGCAAACGATCAGCTTTGAGTCCAATTGGACACACAGGTGCTGACAGGTATTGTCATGATGCTGTATTTCAGGAGAGTTTTCAGATGCTTTGCTCGAGTAAATAGTTTCCTGAAACCCTTCGCTCGCCCCCAAGCTGGAGACGAGTTTAAGTCCGACCTGTGGCTCCTGTCCTGCATGTCGTTCCACACTCTTCCTCTCTGATTTCCTACTCTATCCACTGTCCAAACAATAAAGGCATGGAGCCCAAAAAACTAAACTAAAAACTTTACTAAGGGTGCCACTTGGCCTTGCGATTAGTTAACACGCCCCTCGTACAGAAGCTGTTGCCTTTGAAGAGAGCAGCCCGGGGTTTGAGTCCGACTCCTAAGTAGAGAGGACATCAACATAAGTTGGCAGCAGTGCTCTTATGAAAACCAAAACAATCTCACCCTGCTGTCGTAAACAGTCAAATGATCACTTATTGTTAACTTTCTGCTTATGTGAAAAGGGGCAGCTATAGCAGCGTTTCTTTAATTGTTTCGTCTGATACCTACCACACAGCTGCAGTTTCGGGCATTACAGGACCATTTTAAAAGTAATAAATGGTGTTGCTGATGGTCTTTTTTTGCTTTTGTCGGTCAAACCGGAGCATCAGTATTCATTTCAAAGTGTTACACCAGATAGAAAACCCTCACAGGAGCTTTAATAGTTTCCAAAATGACATCAGAATCAGTTTGTTCTTTATAGCAACAGCTAATACATGTCCTTCAGATGGATACCTTCTACTTTGATTTGTGAGTACATCAAGAGCCTGGACAGTTGTTTCTTTAACTTTGGTAAAGTAGTATAATCTGTTGTAAAGAACATGTGTTCTTTAGTAAATTAATTCTCTCTTTGTCACTCGATTCAACTCATTTCTAATTCCTTTCTTTCAAATCAACAGCTCTCAGGGTTACATCTTTCCCCACACATTTCACCATCATTACCAAAGGAGGGTCATTTATTTGAGTAGATTTTTTGTGCACATTAGTCACAGGGACATTTAAGACAAATTGATATGAAAGCGGTGCAATCTGTTCTGCACGTTTCCCCCTTTTCTCAGGTGTGGGAAGAGAGGAAACTTCTTATCTATCGTAGGTTAGATTTGTCCTTGCAATTAGCTGTCTCTCTCTCTCCCTCTCTCTCTCTCTGTCTCACTGCTCAGGTTTAAGGGCCATGTAATTTAGAGTAGCTTCCCTGGAACCATCGTCATAAATCATGCCTGGGCAGCACCTGAGGACAAGAGCAGAGCGAGCCGAGACTTCAAAGGGAGGGAAAAAACAAGGGCAAATATTTCACTATTGGATCCTCAAATGTCTGCTTGTAGGGATATCGATCTTTAAGAATGTGTTGTTAGTGAAGATGATATTCTTATTACATCATGCTGCAATGTTTTAGAAAATGTTTTTATTGATTACCCTGCAAAGTGACAGATTACAGTTCATTTCAGGAAAGCTGTCGGGATACAGAGTATTAAAGAGAGTGTTTTATTCTCTTCCCTCTTATTCCATCGACTGTCTCAACTAAAACTGTGGAAACAGTCGATCTGCATCTGTGTGTGTGTGTGTGTGTGTGTGTGTGTGTGTGTGTGTGTGTGTGTGTGTGTGTGTGTGTGTGTGTGTGTGTGTGTGTGTGTGTGTGTGTGTGTGTGTGTGTGTGTGTGTGTGTGTGTGTGTGTGTGTGTGTTAGATATACTGTCGGACAGTGAAAGGTGACTGCACTGACCCTTAGCGAGGCTTCTGGCCAAGTGCAATGGGTCAGGTAAGTAATGGGTAGGCCGCTCAGACGGTGAACTGGGGGTCGGCTTCCTTCCTGCCCTCGCCGTTTTATTGTCCGTGCTGCGGCTCTGAGACGCCAACTTTTAAAAACAATTACAGCCCACAGTCGCAGCTTCAAGACAGAACACTTGATCTGAGGTGGGAACTTAAGACGGGCAGTTTTTACTGTGACATCAGCCGGGACTGACAGGATTTATGTTCTCATTAAAAAGATTTCCTCACTTTACAACCATATAGAGTAGAGACAATGTTTGAATACATCAATTTTGAAAACATTGCACAACATGCTCTGTATCAAAATCAGTGCAAATTTATAGTCCTTTACTCTTTTTGGGGAGTCTTAATATTGTACTAACAAATAGCCCACAGAGCATTTTTTTAATGAAAGCCGTATTGATGAGGGATTGTTTTTTTTAATTCTTGAAGACATGAACCCTGCAGCCATTCATAATCTGATTGTTTTTAATGTACATATGTGAGTGTTTTTATGCTCCCTTTTCTTCTTGTCTTCTTTTTTTGCTCCTACTTACAAAAGTCCTTTGAAATAAAATGACCATGCATGTTATTAAAACGTGTGTCTAACAGCACTGACATCTGCTTTCATCGGCTCAACCAGCAGAATCACGAGTAATAATCTTGTAGTGATGAAGTCTTCCAAGTCACCTTTCCCTGTTTGGGTCTCAACTCAGCTTTCTTCCTGTTTTGTCTTTTGCAAATTAGATTAACACGGATTAATTTAAGACATTTCAATGGCTTCCTCTACTATCGATATGATTTAATGAGAGAAATATTCACAACCTGACCCACACACATTGTGCTCCCTGTCCATTTTTTTTCTAACTTCTAAGTTATAAAGGAAACACTGAACGATTGAAGAGATTTTTGTTTAAACTTATTTTTGACAGTGTAATAAAGAACAAAAATTTACTGAAAAAGACAACTAAATAATGATCGACAACCAACCAATATCTTAGATAAAAGAGAATATGGGGAGGTCTCAGCCGATTACCTTTAGCTTCTGTTAACCCAACTTTTTATTACTCGACTATAAACCCATATGTTCAAAAGGATGCAATGATGTGAAAATCCATTCAGTGTCGACAAAGAAAACCTGAATCATTTTGACAACCTCCCCAAACATCCCCCATCCAAAGTGTTGAACAAATCAAACATAAAGATTAAAAACACGTTTCATTAGGTTAAGTTTTCACCCCTGATTAAAACCTCCTTCTCTGTCAAACATCATAGATGAGAAGATCTTAAAATAGTTGTGTTACACTAACATATCAGTGCCCAGACTCTCACATAACATCATGCATTGCATCATAGTGAAAAGTCTCACAGAACAACAATTATGCCGTTGAAACATCTCGGTAGGTTGTGTTTTTCTTGTTAGATGCTGATGGTCCATTCCTCTGCTATAATAAAGTCACCACTTAAGCATCTGTATTTAGCACACCTTTTGAATAACCCTGCTGATCTCCTGCATACCTTTATTACTAAAAACTGTTTGAAATGCTCGGGTAGGGCCGCTCTCTGAGTGCGCAGGCTTTATCACACGCTGTGATTTATGGCTTCACAAACATGTCAGATTTATTGCTGAGGTGTAAAGAGCATGAAGACTACAGCCTCGGACTCTCCCCGTCCATTCATTTCTGACAGGTGACAAGACACCAGTAATTATCAGTTGCCGGGAATAAATCAACAGATTTTATCACGCAGCTCGCCGTGCCCTCGACTGAATAACCATTTTCAAGCAAAGGGAACCTGTCCAATGCCGCTGAACCCAAGATTTGTAAATCTCCTGCTCAAGCCCCCATAATGACCGGTTGTTAGTCGTTTGTTATTAGAGGTCTGTGTGCCAAACGTTATAGATGTATATTTCCAAAAGGGGTAGTTAGGCCTAATAAGTGAGTAAGCTCCGGGATCGCTAACCTTGGCTTTGCACAGGTATGTTAATGCATGTTTTTGGCGTCTGCCATGGAATTTTCTCACCTCAATAAAAACCTTCCAGTCAGAAAAAAATAAATAAAGGTACACACTATTTGTCACACCGCAACACCTATAACGATAGTTAATGTGAGTAAAAATCTGTTATCATCCGTACACTGGCAATCTGTGGTCGTTCATGGCAGTTATTTTATTGCAGTTCACTAAACTCTTCTATTGCAAAAACATGGTGCTGCTCCCTTTGCAAGGAAGAAGGTCACATTTAAGAATGCTTCCCCATGCATATCAAAACATTGCAAGATTAGCATGAGCACATATGCTAACTGTGGATTGCAGAAATCCAGGAGCTCTGAAAGCTCTGAGGTTTGTGGTTTCTGCACCTTATAAAAAGTCCCTCTACATCTCATAAAGAAGCAAAGGGACCCTCCCACATCTGCATGAGATCATAGACTGCAAATAAGAAGTGGACTTTTACAGAGTTGTCAGAGGTGTTGGTGTCT